TCACAAAGAGTGAAAAATTTAAGGGGGTCTGAATACTTTCCGTACCCACTGTATATATATATATATATATATATATATATATATAAAAAGCTAATCAAAATGACAAAGTATTTAAACTAAAAAAAAAAGCTATTTCAAAATATTAATTAAATTATAACTGTATCTGCTAAACTGGTTAAAAAGGCCTATACCAAAACATGTTCAAAAACAAAATAAAAAAATATATAAAATAATCTTATTATATGAATATTCATCTATTCTTCATTATTTAGTTTCTAGCCTCTAAAACTCAACATATGCATGTACCTCCAGCCTAAAAACATTTTAAAATCCATCTGAAGTGATGTATATTCAACACTGGCTGAATGTAATGTCTTCTAAAATGATCCCAAGTGAATGCAGCGACAGCTTTGAAGTGCAATGTCCTTACAGCACAGTAAATCTCAACTAAACAAGACGAACGAGCGGCCATCATTGGCTCGGCAAATACAACAGCGAGCACCACACGCATTTCTGACAAACAGAGTCGGGCCATTATCAGAGTGAGGCCGAGAGACCACTTTAGCACTTAGCAAACCCCTCTAATAAGTGATGGCAGACATCTTTGATTTGCTTGAAATTATGGTGAAAGCAGAGAGAGCAGCAGTTAGACTGCAGTTACTTCACGATGGAAAAGCCCAGATGTACAGGCGCGAGGCCTTCAAACTCCTCTAGACAGACCCAGCTGAGCTCTGAGAGATTTCAGGAAATACAACTTCAACACTGAAAAACTGAGATATGATTAAAACAGCATTTGTTCGCCGCTTCATCCGACGCTGTAATCTTTACTTTTCCATAGTCACATGTAAACAGCAAATCGAACACAGAGTTTCAACTGTCAATCTCACAGTGCCAGTGTTATTATAGTTAACTATTATAAAATAAATAATCAAAAATGTCTCTAGGTTTCCCGAGGGAACGAGACCCTGCGTCGAAGCGCTATGGGAACACCTTCAGCGTGACCACGATCTGAATCACGTGTGTAATCAGTCCAATGGATGGGCGAGACGTCACGGGCGGGGTGACGTAGCGACCAGAAAGCTTAAAAGCATGTGCGGTGGATTCAGTGGCAGCTTCTGGGTAATGAAGCAAGTGCTCGCTCCTTCCTCAAGAGAGTGTTTACTTCTTGTTCCATTACCAGAGCCTGCTCAGGGCCCACCAGAGTGGGAATGACCCCGTTGAAACGAGGCGGAGGAAAACTGAACTGAATGTGGTAGCCTTTTTCTACAGTGTGCAGGAACCATTGAGACACATTTGGCAGAAGTTTCCATGCTGCCAAATAGTCTACTAAGGGAGTCAGTCTCTCGAGACTGACCTCTGGTGTAATCAGAGCATCTAGCTCGGTGCCCTGAAATGGCGGACCGGCAGGGGACGGCCGAACTAGGTGCTCTAGAGACCTCTGGGAGGTAATGAGCCTCTTAGTACCGCTACGTTTCCGGGCGGTGACTGAGAGAAGCGCTCGCCGGAGACCGCTGCGCCCTGAAGCACTGTGGGTGGCAGGGTTGGCAGATCGACCTCCTGAGGGCACTAAGGAGAGACGGGCACCGTATGATGAGGTGTACACCGCTCTTTCCCAGAGGGGCCTGTCCTCAGAAGTCCTGAGCCACAAGCGTCAGGACTGCTTGGCCGAGGTCTTTTTAGACGTAAGAACGGTCCACAGATCCGACTTCATCTTAGAAGACCCCGGCCTAGAGCGTCGCTGGGGCTCCCAGTCCCGATGCGGAGGAGCTGTATGAGGAGCTGGTACAGGGAGGGGGCTGCTCCTGCCTGGCAGCCCCAAAAGCTGCAGAGGAACTGCTGAAACGCTGCCGCTTGTTTACGAGCCTCCTGGTACCTGTCGACGGCTCCCTCGAGAGCTGACTCTGCGTGCTTCGTTCCCAAGCAGACAACGCACAGAATGCTGAAACGCTGTCTGCTCTAGCCCAAGTGTTTAGTCTTATGGCTCGCTTTTGGCATTATGATGCTTATAGTGAGGGACAGAAAACACTAAAGACTCACAAATGGATAGTAGACTGACACACACAGAGCGGTTGCCACAGTATCCACCGCACGTGCTTTTAATAAACACTTCAGTCTGTGTGCGTTGAATTTATTTAATACACGAGTTTCACATTCAGGTGAATCTCAAAAATAAGAATATAGTGAAAAACTTATTTCAAAAAGTGAAACATTTATATATTCTAGATTCATTACATGTAAAGTAAAAATTTCAAAAGTTTTTTGTTTTAATTTTGACGATTACATTTTACAGCTAATGAAAGTCAAAAATCCAGTATCTCAAAATATTTGAATATTTCCTAAGATCAATCAAAAAAAGGATTTGCAAAACAGAAAAGTTCAAGTTCTTTTGAAGTACGTTCATTTATGCACTCAATACTTGGTCGGGGCTCCTTTAGCACAAATGACAGCATTTTTTTTAAATAATTTTTATTCTCACTGGTGATTCTCATTAATTTAACACAGTAAACACTAATCTAATAAAATGACTTTTTATTTAAAAAAAGCTGCTGTACTGCCTTTTTTTAAACAAAATGTAATTTTATTACTTTTTATATAGCTACAATTTAAATATTATTACACATCCATATTACTTTTTAATATTTTTTTATATATAATACCTCTTTGACTATAATCTATAATGTAGTATCGCTATCTCTTTTATATATCTATGATAAATAATATATTTAGCATTATGGCAATGACAATTTGGGGGTAAAAAAATGTGCTTAATTATGGTTAGTTTTTTTGGGGGGGGGTGAAATATAATCCTGACATGTTCCTAACAGCTTTTGTGAGATTAATGAATTAAAAAAGATGGCATACAAATATCTTAATCAGTAATTCAGTACCGTGGTCTACAGCAGTGTAATGTGGAACTACTAACTGATGGAATTGCTGTATCATATCATAGTCTTTTAACATGTAGTTTGTATCCCAAAACACTCTTTCATGCTGTCTAACTAAAACTGAATGACTTTAGAGAAAAGAGGCTCAAAATCGACATTTATCAACAACATAAAAAAGATCATTACTCATTCCAGCAGCTGAGAGATGTGTTTTAGTACCTTTTCTGAGCTGTAGGAGGAGTTTCCCTCTGAATAACTCCAGAGTGAGCGAGTGTCCGCTGTGCTCCTCCATGTGAACCAGCATCCCAGAGTTCAGCAGGGTTTTGAAGTTCATGGACAACACGTCTCTGTTTAATGGAGTGATGCTGGGATCCGGCCTGAAGAGCAAGTGAGCGCTGCCGTCAATACTGACCACATCAGACTCTGAAGACACAGCAGAAACAAACACAAGAACTCGAGAGATCAGGCAGAACCGCTCACAACCAGGCAGTACAAATGACTGATTTCCATTCTCGTTAACAAGGCTTCAACTGCATTCAGTAAATAAACTCTAATGAACTGCAACAAACATACAAACAAGCAAGCAAACAAACAAACAAACAATCAAACAAATAAATAAATAATGAATTGCATAATAATGAACTAAAATAGATACATAGATAATGCATTACAGTAATTAAATACAAATAAATAAATAAAATGAATTAAATAATAATGAAATAAAATGAATAATAGACAAAAATAACTAAGTAAATAATAGTGAAGAAAAATAAATGAATAAATAATGGATTACAATTAAGAAATACATAAATACACTAAAATAAGTTAATAATAATAATGATCTAACATTAAAATAAATCATTAACAAAAACATTTAAATAATGAAATATCCTAAATAAATTGCAAAAAATAAATAATGGACAACAGTAAACATACACTATACACAAATAAAAAAATAATAATGAACTAAAATTAAAATAAATGATAATGAACCTAAAAAGAGAAATACAAATAAAAAAAATAAATAACGAAATGAACTCAGAATAAATAAATTAATTAATTAATAATGGACAATAATAGATAATAGTAATGAGCTAAAATAAATAGATAACAGTAATACATCAATAAATGAATAACCTAAAATAAACAATTACATAATTCAACGAATAACAAATATCAAATACACTGGAAATATCAATAAACAAATAAACAATAAACAAAAATCAAATACACTGGAAATTAAATAATGAACTATATTAAATAAACGCATTACACGTAAATGAAAATGAACTAAAATAAATAAATAATGAACAATAATAATAATAAGAAAATAATAATGAACTGAAATAAATAAGTGTATATATATATATTATATATATGAAACAATCGACAATTAAAATAATAATAATCTAAAACAAACAAATACATATTTAGATAATGAACTATAAATAAGGGACTATAATAAATAAATAATGAAATATAACAAATAAATATATAATGCACAATAGAGAAAGTTAAACAAACAAACAAAATGAATAAATAAAGATTGTGTGTGTGATGTTGATTTAGTGTAAGGTTAACTGCCTGAAGAGTGAAACGCTGACTCTGAGATGCTTTCAAAACATTGATCTGTTTGTTTGTGTGGACTGACATGTCAACAAACCCCTGACTCTAACGATTAAACTCTTTTTATAATTTATCATTATAATTGGTGTTGCACAGTGTTTGTGCAGCTCTATTGGCACTCCTGATGTATTCAGGTACAGCAGCTTCACTAAACGGAGCAGAGAGCGTTTAAACCTGAGGTCAATAGAGATGATGCAAACGCCTGACACTGGACACAACCTGCAGATCCCAGCAATAAATTATACATCTGTATGAATGCAGGGAAAGCACTCCATCCCTAATGGTCTGCTGTATTTACAGTATGAACATGGAAACAATCCAAACGCTGTTAATGCACTTGAGGCAAATAAACACTGTGGTATGTTGACTGGAGGTTTTGCCCTGCAGTTCTGCCCCGTGTGACTCCAGCGACAACACATCTCATGCACAGGACCTCTGAGAGACCAGTCATACATCAGCCAGCGCGCTGGGCTGCAGTCTGACTGAAAACCACTCGTCTGCTCTCAGATGATAACATATAACACGTGGCGTTTGAAGATGTGAAATTGTCATAGTATATATAGAGCACAGGCTGATCTGGAGCGTCATTAATGTTGTAATCACAAAACTAAAAAGAAAGCATTAGATTAAAGGTAAACGGCACCAAACTGAAATTCATAGATAATGAGTCAAACACATATACTAAACACGTCTTCTATTGGCTGCGTAAACAGAGAGTACATTATCACATAGCCCCGCCTCTAAACTCACTCCATTGGTTGAGACAGTAGTTGAAATGAGATCAAACAGATCAATGTTTTGAGAGTGCCAAAGTGTTTTACTATTCAGACATTTTGACAGTTCACAACTACATTTTTTAATCATATTTAAATAAATACATATTCATAATTTGCAGGATTTAATTATTATTATTATTATTATTAGTAGTAGTAGTAGTAGTAGTATACTGTTAAATTTATTTAATAACAAAATATTTTAAATAATATTTAAATAAAATTTATAAGAAAAGATTTTTAAATCAAATTTAAGTAAATAACCAATTATATTAAATTGATTCATAACTTAAAAGATTAAATCATATTTTAACAAATACATTTATTTGTTTAAATATACACAAATGAATAAAAAAATTAACATTTCATAATATGTAGGATTTTATTTTATTTTACATTTACACAAATAAATACATTTGTTTAAATATACACATAAAATATTTGAAATCATATTTGAAATAAATAAAATTCATTCATATATAAATGGACAAATGAATGAATGAATAATATTAAATTAGTTTACATATTAACATAAAATATTTTAAATAATATTTAAATAAACTCAAAACATAAAAGATTTTCAATCAAATTTAAATAAATATTCAAATCTTTAAAATACCATTTTGTTAAAATAAAATAGTTAAAATTCACATTTAAATGAATGAATAATAAATAATAAACCAGAATAAATGAATTTCATACCTAAAGATTTTAAATTAAACAAATACAGAAATAAAAAACATATCATTTTAATTTCTATTTAAATTAATGAATGAATAAATAACAAACTATAATAAACTAATTTCATAATGAAACAAAAAATTATTTAATTAATTTATTTATTTATTTTAAATCATCTTTAAATAAATAAACTCCATGATATGAAATATTTGAAATCATATTTAAATAAATAAATACATTTCATAATATGAAAGGTTTTAAATGAATAACTATAATATTAAATAATTTTCATAAGATGAGCGCTGTCCAGTGGTATGTCAGTGTTGAACACGTACTGTATTGGCAACCGTAGGCCTCCAGTCTCAGGCCGATCCTGCCGTTGGGGTTCCAGTGGAGTGGCAGTATCCGGATGTACTGAGCGATGACCGGCTGCTGGAGTTTGTACATCACCACACTGTCAGCGTTCGAGTTCCCAGAGAAAGCCTTGAATAAGGAGAACACCAGCGTTACATGTGTGTGGTTTGACCTGATGCACTAATGCACTCCAGCATCTTTTCTGTTTCCCATTGGATTATAAAGATGCAGATTGTCGATCCTGAACTCGTGTGGCAGGTGAAGAGACCAGTCTATAACTCACATTCAACATAATGTGAGCCGAGACCCTGTGGAGACCGGAGCGATCGGACATGGCCACGGGTCAGCAAGCAGCGCTTCTCTCCATCACATCACTGTATTAAAGGAAATCAATACGGCACTAACCCGCTGAACAAAACACTCATCGCACAACTAAAACTGGCTGGTTAGGCTGGACTAGGACCGGCCGAAGAATTGCCATGTATGTTTAGGCTGATATGTTTCTTATTGTGTCCAAAAAATAAAAAAAGAATAAATAAAAATCACAGCATATGTTTAGCACATAAACTGGACAAATAAATCAATGACATTTTTTTTTTGTTTGTTTAATTATTATCAGTAAAATTTATAATAACTAACACATTCTAAAGCAACTTTTAGGTAGTGTTGAAATCAATGTGTTAAAATCTGTGCTATATATATATATATATATATATATTAGGGATGCACCGATGTATCGGCCGCCGATATTTATCTGCCGATTTTTTTATTATTTTAAAGCCATCGGCATATCGGAAATAGCATGAAAAGGGCTGATACCGATGGTTTATTAATTAACTGCATGGAGACAATGAGTTGCATGTCTGTTGCATAATCCAATGTCTTTCTCTGGGCAAAGTAATTATATACTTGCCAAAACAAAATAAAATCTGTACAAAATAGTTTGTCAGACGGCATAGTACGGCCATATGCAAACGTGACACTGATGCATCCAACCAGTGAAATGCTTGCTCTCAGCTGTAAATTGCTCTCATTGTAAGTCACAATGGCAATTAGAGTTAGAGTTAGAGTTTATCCGAGGATATGTCACTGTGATGGAGAGACTCTGAAATTGTCTTCCATCACTGTTTTCACTGTTAATGTTGGTTGCTTGTTTGCATTTCTTTGTCTAGCTAAGTGGGCGTGGCAATAGGAAGTGCAAACTAAGAAAAAGCGCTCAGCTTAACTAATGTAAATGTTTGTGCAAATGTTTTGGTTTATCCGTTCTTTTTTTTAATTGTATTATTAATTGCATTTATTTACTTAAACTATTGTTTCTAAATATCATGTATATCATAAGAGTCAAAGGGGTGGGATAGAGTGCTTGGAACAAGATTGTAGTGCTGTGTAGCATCTGAAACTCCAGCCTCAATGTTGTAGAGGGGAGTTGGTACTGTTTTTAGTACTTGCAGTTCTAGTTTTAGACTGTTTTTATTACAATTTTTGTTTTAAGCTCTTAAACCTAATTATTTGCACATTTTGCACATCTGATTTCAATAAACAACCCTTTGGACTCCAACTTCGCTATTGATCCTCCTGGTGACTGCTCGGGTCGTTATCGCAGTCACGAACCGCCAAGCATTAGGCCTACATTTAAGTGAAAATGAATGGCAGGTAATATGCAGCTTTTTGTTTGAAACCAGTGAAGAACGCGGATTCACACAAGGTCACATCACGCGCCCGCAGCGTTTCTGTGAACGGAGAAACAAGAATAAAACTATATAGGCTACATAAAAAGGAATATATAGGCCTATACACAAAATATACTTCACTTAAATCATTAACAGATTAACAAAACGAAAGAAAAAAATTGTGCTGAGTTTCGGATAATTGTAACGTGCTCCGAAGTTCACGGGGGAAAAAAACGAGACGAGCAGAATGCAGCTTTTTTTATTTTACAAAAGCTTTACAGTTTTGAATGATGTTTTGCTTCTATCTGTATGACAAACCAGCGTTGGTATGACCATAAATTACGGAGTAGCAGTTGGGAAAACAATGCAGTGATCGCGTCGGTGCCTCACACGCACATACAACAAATTTTTAATAATATGACATCGTAGCCTGTTCATTATCAAAATAAAATACACAGTTAAAGAAACATAAAAAGTTACACTGCTCAAATGAAATAGTCGGTAGTACAGTCTGTGCCATTCAGCATAACCACCGCCTCACTGTGCTGTTTAGTCTATATGTGAAGGATGATGTTTTACGTCGATAATGCGAGTGAAGAACAAAGCCTATAGTTTACATAATAAATAATAGGTTAGCATCCAGATACTTCGCGGATATGGAAACATTTGGATTCGTGCAGAATGAGAGAGGCAGGCTTCAGTTTCGTTTTTAAATTAATTCGTTTGGGCTTGACGCTTATATTTAGCCTAAATACAACTTTAGAGGATTTGTTGTGGAGAGAAGGGAACTAAAATAGCCTAATTGTGTAATTTTGCTTTTATTTACCAATATTTTAGCCTACATTATTTCTGAATGTAATAATAAAATGCAACGTACAGCCTACTAATTTAGGCTGTTTTTTTCCTCTCAAAACGCTTATAGGAGTAGCGTTTTTTTTTATCCATGCTGAAACATTTTTAAATATCTTGAAAAAAATTATTTAATGTTTTTATTGCGTTGACAGTTTTTTCTTTTGTTTAATACATTTGGTCTTTGGTAAATCTAGAAAAGATGATGCTGTATTGGCTATGATTAAGAGAGATCATTCAAGACTCTCTTCATGATTTTTTTTTTCTATTTAAATAAATTAAACACTGTACTTTATTATTATTATTATTACTATTATTGGCAAAGAAAAAGTTAAAAAAATAACGTTATTAACCGGTATGTTTTCTACTCAAACCGGTTTCACAGAGGAACGCAGGAACAGAAATGTTCAAATACCGATTCTGCTCGGAGTGAACTAATTATTTTTTCTCTCTCGTTTTTAAGCCATGCTTTATGCAATTGACCAATATCGGTATCAGTATCAGCCAATAGTTGTTTGTTAAAATCTGTATCGACCGATATTATATATAGGATATATATAATAGTATATTTATATAGGATATATATTAGCGTTATCAATCGATTAAAAAAAAATTAACGAATTAATCGCACATTTTTTTCTGAAATTAATTGCGATTAATCCCACCTAACATTCATTTCTCTATGAAATGGTTTTTCCCCTAATATTTAACCATTGATTAGCCATTCAACATTACAAGAGCTACCAATTTTAACATTTAACATTTTTACATTAAAAATAGAATGATAAAATATTTAAGCTAGCGCATTGGAGGAGAATTATATTTATATTTTTGTATATTAATATATAAATATAATGTATAATAACATAAATAGATAACATAATGTAACTAAACTATAAATACTAAATATAAAATTATATAAAACAATTACACCCAAATTAAAATGACAAAATGTTTACATTATTAATTATGAAAAATATATAATCTACCTGTCAGCTGTTTAGGCTAAGACAAGTTGAATAACCACCAAAACCAGTGAAACACTAGCTTGGTCAATTTGAGAGGCCAGTCAGACCAGTGTAAACCAGCGAACACCAGCACAGCATGGCTATTCATGCTGGCTATTTTAAGAGGCAAACGGAGGCAACAAGTAGAGTTCTTGTGGATTATGTTGCAGGGAGGAGCATTTATTTTGTCCTTATATCTGCCAGAGATGTCTGCAATTTGGATTTTGTGGGCTCGGAGTAATTGGGAGCTGAGTAGCGCTCTCAGTGTGTTTGAAGGGATCAGCCGTCTGCTGGAGTGCAGCGTTAAGCCCAACAAATTGCTCTGTTTCCTGCTGAGGAGGCGCATCTCATTTGCTCTAAAGTGGCCTGTGAAATATATCAAGAGTCAAGGTGCAAATCCTCCAGCGCCAGGAGCGACAAGCTCTCGCTCTCACAAGAGAAAAAAAAACACGTGTTCGCGTCTTCAACTCTAAACGCTTCTCGTGACAGACAGAGTCGTGACTAGCGCTTCTCATCGCAGACTGATGACGGATACAGACACAAAAACGGGTCTCAGGTCTGTTCTGACCTGTCACCGACCGCAGGAAAAAACAGCACAGAATGCTAATAATAACGTGCAACTATATAATCATGTAAACAAATTTGGGGTCAGTATGACTTTTTTAAAGTAAATCAATACTTAATTATCCAGCGAGGATGCATTAAATTGATCAAAAGTGACAGTAAAGACATTTATAATGTTACTATTTCAAATCAATGCTGATTGTAACAAATACTTTAAAATCAGTGCTGTTCTTTGAACTTCTCTGTTCATCTGTGAATCCTGAAAAATGAGATTTATCACGGTTTCCACAAAACTATTGGGCAGCACACCTGTTTTCAATATTGATAATAATCAGACGTGTTTCTTGAGCAGCAAATCAGCATATTAGAAGGATTTCTGAAGGATCTTGTGACACTGAAGACTGGAGTAATAATGCTGAAAATTCAGATGCGAATAAATTAGATTTGAACATATATTCATATTGAAAACAGCTATTTTAAATCTGAATAATATTTCACTATCTTACCGGTTTTAATGACTTTTTGATCAAATAAATGCAGCCTTGGTGAACAGAAGCTACTCTAACACATACAAAAAAAAACAACAAAAAAAAATTACCAACCCTAAAACTTTTGTTGTTAAGGTCAAATGACATTTTTGTTCATTTCTGTACAAAACTGAATTTTGTTACTCAGTTTGGTCGTCAAATGTAGCCTAAATCCACATCTTGAAGCTAGTTACTAGTTGGATGAATCAATAAATCTTAAGTGCAAACCTCACAGAACAGATTGCAGAGCATTTCGGCATTCAAACGTGAAGACGACAGAAGATGTGAAACTCAATAAGCATCTATTCTCTGAGTGTCAAAACTAAATAAACCCTCTCACACACTTAACAAGCTAATTTCAATAACACATTTAGCTAGTGTTGAACTCACTGGAGAGCCTGAGGAAGCTCAGATCTGTGCTTCTAAATCTGATTTAACATTACACATTGAAAAAAGAGAATTAAATTCATATTTTTAAAATGTTTGTTGAATAAATAAATAAATAATTGTAAAAAAAACAAAAAACTATAAATATTAAATATAAAATAATTAAAAAAAAAAAATTTAATTCGAAACCAAGTTATAAAATATTTAAGGAGGATTATAAGGATTATATTTACAATTTTACATTTATAATAAATATCTAAATAAATCAAATAAATAATAAATACATGTAAATAAACTATAAATACTAAATATAAAATGATTACAAATTAATTATATTAAAAATAAAATTATAAAATATTTACGATCGCACATTGAATGAAGAAAATTATATTCATAATTTAAAATGTATATTAAATGTACAAGTAAATCAAATAAATAATAAATGCAGTACATGTAAATAAATAATAAATATTAAATTATATTAAAAATAAAATGAAAATGTTTAATACTGCACACTGAAGGAGAATTTTTTATTAATTATTTAGTAAATGTATATTAAATATAAATAAAATAATGAATACATGTAAAAAATAAATATACAATGTATTACTAAATATACAATTTATAAAAAATAATTATATTAAAAATTAAATTACAAAATATAATTGAGAGGTTGATGAAGCTTAAATCTGTTTTAAATAAGTCTTATTTATAAATAAGTCTTATTTATTTTAAGATTGCACATTGAAGGAGGAGAATTACATTTATATTTTTAAAATGATAAATATAATATAATATAATAGTATTATATTGATTAAATTATTAAGTATATTTATTATAAAACAGGAAAAATATATAATCTACCCATTAGCTGGTCAGGCCAAGACACATCTGAACAATCACCAAAACCAGCTACACATTAATTTGGCCAATTTGGAGAGTCATGTCTACAGACCAGAAGATCACAGAGATGCATAGCGGGCCGTTTTGAGCCAGTAAACAACGTACGAGTCGCTCAGTGTGACGACGACTTCTGCACAGACAAGCAGCACTAACTAAACTAAATCGCTGCGTAGCGTTTTATCTTGTCAGAGCATGTTTTCAGGTCAGGAATTCAAGTCTTACCCCGATGCTATCCTCCTGTCGGTACGGCCTCCAATTATGGCCCGTGTCACTGAACATGAGGAGGTAGCGTGTGAGCCAATCAGAGCTGCCGTATCGGCCCTGGGTGGCGATGGCTGTAATCTCCGTCCGCTGCTCCAGCTTGATTTCCAGCCACTGGTACTTATTAGAGTCCAGCGGGGACCAGCCTCCGGCACCTGCGGGACACAGCACACAAACAAAGGCTTCTTACTCTGCATTATGGGCCGCGCTGCATGGATTGCATCACGTGCTATTCATAACTGATCCACTGCTGAGGCATTTGTTTGGAGAAAACAACAGCTGCCTTGATAGGGAGCATCCAAACTGAAATTGAACCCTTGTAAGTGGCTGATATGCAACGCACTACATAGCCAGTTATTGTGAACTGCACAAACTAATTTCAATAAAGTTTGATGTTAGCATCACACAAAAACTATTGGGTGAATATTTTGAATATAGTATACATATAAAAAATGTTTTATTTAATAATAATAATTATACTGTATATATAATTTGTTTTGTTAGCATCACTATTGGGTGAATATTTTGAATATAGTATACATATAAAAAATGTTTTATTTAATAATAATAATTATACTGTTATACTGT